AAAAAAAAAAAAAATTTTTTTTTTTTTGCTGTGACTAATCCTCATGTCCAGTAACTTAAGTAAATGTGGTTTCATGACTAAGGCAGCTTACAGGTGACTCAAGGGAAAAATCACTTGTCTATTGTGTATCCTTTTGTTTCCAAAACAATATCTAACTTGACTGATTGATTTTTTTCCAAATCTTCTGGTCCTAACTTAATGAAAGGGTATGGGTATGCAGTTCCATTCTTTCCACAGTATTTATGTATGCATAATATCAGAATTGTTCATTATTGAAAACCACTTCATTGAATCTCCTATTGAACACTATTAATTTTTATAGATTAAAAATTACTGCACAGGGCTGGGGATTTAGCTCAGTAGTTCCACCACCTTCCTTGCAAGCATAAGGACCTGAGTTCGATCCCCGGTACCCCCCCAAAAACATTGCAAAAATTAATCCATAAATGCATGTTCTTAGTTATTGTTGTATCTCCAAATTGGTAGGAAAAAATGACATTTTTTGCAAATTATTATTTCTAGCATACTTTCTTTCAAAATACGTTAGTTTTAGATGGAAGAACATTAAGTTTTCGTAAAATGGGATGTAATCCTATTTGATTAGTTCAGTTAGTTCCTTCTAACACGTTTTTAGTAGAGTAAGCAACTGAACTCATACTGAAGAGCAAATAGTGCTAATACTTCTACTTCTTTTATTTTAAACACCACTCCCCCTTAGTTATTCTCATCCTCTTAGTTCTCTGGGGCTTGAAGTGGTTGTAAAGTTGATTTGAAGTTGCAGGTATAACGGACATGTAATAAACTTCATGCATTTGAGCTATGCAGCTTGATACATTTTGACATAGGTGTGTACCCTTGAGACCACCACAGCCACATTAGTGAACACCCACCACCACCCTACAAGTTTTCCCTGCCTGCATAATCTTTCCCCATTCACCCTGAGGCAATCATAAATCTTTTTTTTTCACTTTTGAAAGTGTGCACATTTTCTTGTGTTTATAGCTCTGAGATTGTCCCAGAAGGCCATGCACATATAAATAAAGAAGCTTGCGGGCCGGAGATTTAGCTCAGTGGTTTGGTGGCCTGCCTTGCAAGCGCAAAGACCAGAGTTCAATCCCCGGTACCAAAGAAAAAAAAAAAAAAGATTGCCAACTCCACCCACACCATTACCTCTGTGTCAACCATATAGTAGTGATTCATTACCAAAGGAAAAGGTTCCCATTAAGATGTAGTTCTATAAAGCTGAAAAAAAAATAAAAAAGATGTAGTTCTAGCCGGGTGTGGTAGCACACGCCTGTAATCCCAGCACTCAGGAGGCTGAGACAGGAGGATCGCTCTGAGTTCAAGACCAGCCTGGGCTACACAGTGAGTTCCAGGTCAGTTTGAACTACATAGTGAGACCCTGTCTCAAAAAAAAAAAAAAAAATCTGGTAGCCCAGTAAAAACTTTTTTAAAATTTGCTTTAAGAACTGAATTTTCATATCAAAATTACCATGTGATTTAATGGACTGACTGCCAAGCTTCGCTAGTCCAAAACAATGTGCTGATCTGATGATGCGGGCTGCTCAAGAAGCCCTGGGAAGCACTGTCTTTGGTGAGTAAAGAAAGAACCTCTGACAAAACCGTGGGCAGCTGGAACGATAGCCCTTTAGACGGTGTTTTGATATTGATGATCAGTGAAATAGCCTCTGCTGAGCCCCACTTGTGAACCACATTCTTTAAAAAAATTAAACCTATTTAAACTGACACATAAAAATTAAATATGAATGGGGTGCCATGTGATGTTTACATGTAGTTACACATTATGTAATATTTAACTCAAACATACCGGTCTCCTCAAACATTCATTTCTTTATGGTGAAGACTTTGAAAACCGTTTCTCCTAGCTTTTTCAAATGTATAATACACCATTGTTACCTATAGTCTCCCTGCTGTGATCAAACACTAGAAATTTCCCACACTCAAGATGACTGCTTTTCTAGGCCTTCAAAAAACCCCACAAAGTTACTGAACCAAATTTTGGAAAAGAAACGCAAAGGAAGCATCAGAATCCAATGAATTTGAAGCTGTGTGAGTTGAAAGCTTACTTGTACTCAAAGCCCCAAACCCTGTTATTTGAAAGAAAACTTCCAGGGGTGATCATAATTAATATTAAATGCTAATGAACAGAAAAGGCAAGAAATTGAATCTGGCAAAGAAAAGTAGATTCTCTGAGTAGAGCAGGGATCGTGTTCTTCCAGGACCCTTGGATGGATCCTCGGTGGGCCATGGAATCTTCTTGGATGCTTATTTACATTTGAATTTGTCTTTTATCTCTGAAGATTGAGTCACTAGATTTAGGACAGGGGCCGCAAATGTACATTGTTTGACAACCTTCTGTTTCCAGGGAATTCGCACATAGGTGGGGAATGATATGGGTGCTACCTGGCCGCCTACTCCACTGTCCCTGCCCCAGACTCAGCCTTTGTTTTGATAGTGACACTCGGGTATCAGTAAGACAGGAAGTAGTTCAAGAACCAAAATCTAATTAGAGTTCATTGGTCTGTGACTCACTTTGTTGAAAGCTCCTGGTTCAAATGTTTGGCTCCATGGAATTGAATTCTGAATTTGATGCACGGTAGTCAGTGGTAGCATTTACACTACTGTGTTTTCAAACTGATGTGTACTGAACAAACTTTTATCTTCAGGTTTGTATCGTAATGATGAATGCTAGGGGGACCTGGTAAGGCAGTGACCACTCTTTGACTTTAAATCCTCTAGCCACATAGCAGAAAAAGTATGATTGGCCATTTCAAAGGTATGGCTTTACTCTGTCTCAGTGCCAGTCCTGTAATACAGAGCCAAAGAGCGGGGAGGGCAGAATTCTGAAGTGTGGAAGACCAGATTGGCGATAGGCCAGAGAACATAAAGTACTTCATAGAGGCCATCTAACCAGACACAACTGGAAGTTTCTCCTTCAGACTGTGGATCACTCCATTCCTTGGTGGGCTTCATCTTGTCTCAGGATAGTTTTGGGGGTGCTGGTGGGGTGGGAAGGTGTCTGGCTAACAAGGAAGCCCACTCTAACTGTCCTCATAACGAGGTCTCGCGGCACATTTTTTTT